GTCTGTCGCCGGCTCGCTCGTTCGGCGTGTTCGACGCGTGACGTGTTGATTTTTCCATTTTTATTTCCGTTTCTTTGGTGTCGCGATGCGTATTGAATAACACCGTAACCGTGCAACCAAAACGAGCAGTTTGCTCCAACTGGGGATTTCCTACTCCGCTTCCTTCCCGCAAACCTTTCTTTCTCTTCTTTTTTCTCTACACCCTATCCTCGTTCCTCTCGCGAGCGAAACCCCTGTTATTCCGTTATTCACGGGGTGAATCCTTCAAGTGCGACTGAAGACCGATAAAAAATGAGAAAACGAAGGGAAACCGCGAATCGGCTTTCGTCGTTTCCTACCGACGAATCGTCAACGCGGCCCAGATCTATCTCACCTCCCTCGAAATATTTACAAACATTCGCATTTTTATTCGATACCTTCTTTTATCCGCTATTCCATCCACCGGTTGATGGAATAGCGGCCCGCTTTATCACCGCGGTGCACGTCGCTACGGAGACAAATTCTCTCGCGTGGATGGAAAGAGGATGGAAGGAGGGGGAGAAAAAAGAGAAGAACACGTGGGAAGAGAGGCGAAGAGAGATGGAAGATGGTGGGGAAGAAGGGAGAGAATTCGTGCCGCGTCTCTCCGGTGACAATTTGCAAAATTGTCTCGCGCGTACCGCTCGGCACCGCGCTATTCCGCTCGTCGTTCTCTCGGCCGACGATCCGCAAATGATAATCGTCCCACGTACCGGTACGCGTTACGTCGCTTTGCCCTCCTCCCTCTCTCCCGGCGAATACACGCCGCCCCCGGTGTGCAAAGAACAATGGGACGAACGAGCAGCAGCTCGCGGATTTGCCAACGAACACGCGCCAACCTCCATCCACGCACCAAATATTTAATACCGTGGATACGGCATTCGTATGCAATCGGTCGCGATAACGTATCAATTGGCCATTATTAGCGGGAATACGCGACCGACCAACGCGGTCCAATTGGACGAAACGAGGGTATGTGTGTCGGGCGTAGCGGTAAACCGGCTACGGTTTCACCTATACCGAGGAGAGAGAACCCAGAATCTCTTCTGCAACACAACGATTCAGACCGAGTTCGTTGCGATCCTCCCCTCTCCACACTCTTTTTTGCCGTCTTTTTCAGCAGTTTTTTTCTTTTTTTTTTTTTTTTTTTTTTTT